ATTTTAGATATAACAAGACGGTTCATTCATAATATTATAAAAAAATAAATAAATCAATAATAACTCGCATCACTCATGAAGGTATCCATTATCACCGTGCGTGTGCATTAACTCCGCCCACCCTGCTTCTGATGACGTCGCTCGGGGTTTTCTTTTTTTCCACCTTATTTCAAATTACCAACTCACACTTTTCTCATCCTAATTTTACAAGTTGAAAGTTACAAAACAACACACGCACAGCGCTGACTGACTCTGATAACGGCCGGGTGTTCTCCGAGTCCGATGGACTCGGGTATTACACACAATGTTAAACAGACCCGGGACCCGAAGTAATAGATTGGGACCCGACCCGGACCCGGCTGACCATTTCAAATATAGCCCCGAACCTGTACGGATCCCGGGTCGGGTCCCGGGTCCTCCTTGTAGACCTCTACTCCTCTGTGCCAAGTTCGTGGATGTGCATGACATACGCTTTCAATCTGACATCTTTTGTTTAGAGGTAAATCATTTAGTAATTAATTACTGGTCAGTTTAATTGGAAGTCTCAAGGCCCCACTACATTATCACAAAGTAGTTAAGGGATGTTTCCAGTAATTAGCACAATCTAAGGTTAATTTATGTAAACTTACATTTTGTTATAACTTGATCATACATTTTCTTTATGGGTTTATTAAAAAAAGAAAACAGATCATCTGTAGAAAGTAAGGCAAGTAGTTAATTACAAACCCGATTCCAAAAAAGTTGGGACACTGTACAAATTGTGAATAAAAACAGAATGCAATGATGTGGAAGTTTCAAATTTCAATATTTTATTCAGAATACAACATAGATGACATATCAAATGTTTAAACTGAGAAAATGTATCATTTTAAGGGAAAAATTTAAAGCAGTATTACACTTATTGTTTTTATGCTTAAACCCTTTTACGTCTTTGACCCTTAAATGAAAAGTGTCCCTTTCCTGCACACATGACAAAGGATACAAAAAATACAAAAAGTGTTTTTTAATTCCAATGTTAAAAAAAACAATTAATATTAAAGTAATTGTTGTACCGCAATCCATTTTCAGACCTGCCAACTTTGGGCAAAATTTTTAAATTCCAAATTGCACCACTTTGCATTGGACACTGAACATTTTTTTACTTGATTAATTTTTTAATTGGCATTCAGAGCATAGTGATTAGTTAGTCTATTCTTTTGCTGTTTAGTAGGTGAGACCCCCAGCTCTTGCAGTTAGACGCACTGCATGTACATCATCACAAAGGCGGCACCAATTTGTTGTGTAGTTTACAATGACAAAGTGTACCAGTGTACTATGATGTCAAATTGTGTACAGGTTGGTAGGTCTGCGTTTGGCAATGATTATGATTTTATGATTATATTCATGCAGCACTCATGCTACTACTACTAGTACTGCCACTACTACTTCTCTTGCTAGTACAGCCTGGAAATTAAAAGTTGCACTGTTATTTATTAAACCTGCACACTTGAATGTTTCACTTTGGACAGGCCTTCATAGTTTTAATTTGTTGTCGGCCTTGGCATTTCTGATCAAGACTTCTAACTCGTAGCTTTTATTCACAGCTCAAATTCAACAGAAAAATGCTTGGCTATGCAGCAGAAGAATCTCTGTCAAGTTTAGAGCTCAGCGAGGATGAGTTTATACCGGAGAGAGAGGAAGAATCAGACAGTAACGGTTCAGCAGAGGAAGAGGGTTTAGCAAAAAATAAACCGCATAAGAAAGGAAAGGTTAAGTCAAAAACATGTAAAAGAAGGCGTGTGACATGTTCCAGTTCCTTCGCTAACAGTGGCATCAAAGAATCCTCTTCACCTGATGAACAAGACAGCAGAGAATCGTCTTCACCTGATCATTCTGATGTGAGGGTCATGATGCTGAACAAGAAAACCGATGGAGGAAGACTGTACAACGAAAAGTATTACTGCTTGTTCTGCAGCAAACCATTCAGTAAAATGGCACGCCATTTAGAATCAAAGCACAGACACATGCCAGAGGTGGCAAGAGCCGTTGCATTTCCGAAAGGCTCTAAAGAGCGAAGACTGCAGCTGAGTTTTTTGAGAAATAAAGGGAACCGTTGTCATAATGCTCAAGTGCTTAAAGAAGGAACAGGAATGGTGATACCCCGACAGCAATCCATTGCTCCAGTAAGAGCAGGTGATTACTTGCACTGCGTAAACTGTGCGGCGTACCTGAAGAGGAAATCATTATGGAGGCACATGCAGAGATGCCACCTAAGCCAGAAAGTCAAAGGAATGAAGCCAGGAAAAACTCGAGTTCCGTCTCTTTGCGCAATTGCTGAACCAGTTCCTGACAGTGTGAACGCACGATTTTGGAAAATGGTGTTTGAAATGCATGAGGATGAGGTAACAAATGTTGTCCGCAAAGAGAAAATCATATTAAAATTAGGGCAACATCTCTTTAATAAGCATGGCCATGATGTCACAAAACATGAATATATCCGACAAAAGATGCGTGAGACAGGGCGCCTAGTCCTCCAAGGAAGACAGAAGGGCAAGTTGAAGGAGGTGTCAGATTTCTTCATCCCGGCTAATTTCCCTCATGTCATCGAAGCGGTTCACAGTGTGGCTGGCTTGAATGAGGAAACGAGCACGTACAAAGCACCATCTTTAGCCCTGAAGTTAGGGCACAACCTCAAGAAGATGGCTAACGTTATTGAATGTGAGGCAATGATGTCCGGTGATAAGAATGCCCTTAGCAATGTGCAGGCCTTTAACCAGATCTGCGACACTAAACGGAGTGAGTATGTGT